TGATAATCGGAGTGGTAGTCACAAGGGCGGCAAGTGTGTGTTGGCGATGGTATATTATTTTTCATCATTAGCAAAATTCATCTAGTGAACACTTAAAAAAATAGTTAGCCCTCTCCTCTCCCAAAAGCCGCCTGCTCGTTCTGGATATCCTAGGCAATTTTAGTTACCTTAAATCGAAAACCACACACTCCAAATAGCGAATTATTTAGCAACGGCTCATTTCAAGATAAAAATTATTTTTAACTGATGAAAATAATTTAAAAGCATTATTTTTTGCTCCCTCACCATCAGCAGTGAAGTCTACTCCATGAAATGGTACTGCTTGAGACCCTGAACTCCAGACTAATTTAGTTCTAATTCAAGACCTGATTACTTATTGAAAATTGTGAGAGCATTAAAATCCAATTATTTGGAAAAATTGGGTTAAATATTACATTACAAAAAGCAAAATTATTAGGAATACGCATTTATAGTCTGTAATGGTTTGGTTACAACCGCTTGTCACCTCGTTCCCCACTTTTTTCATATCAGATTTATCTTCGCAAAAGCTAACTTTTTGAAAAATGTATGGGCGCTGAAAGGTAGTATCGCGATACATTGACTTGTTTTTTAAGTCTTTGTTCTAGCTACGCAGGCATTTAAGGCTCCGCCATTGTACTTCCACCAGGCGGCTTGGCCTCCGGCCCACGCCAAAAGTCCCCTACCCCTTCTGTACGTCGGCAATACATTTTCCGCCCTGGTATTATGACATCAGGAAACGCTCGAGGCCCTACAGCACAGTCGTAGACTTTTGATTTGAAGACTGAAATACTTTTGTCTTTTCGTAATCTATCTTAAATAAAAAATTCGTGTTGAGTGTTTTACCAATGATTAGTTATCTGGTGCAAAAAAACAAAACTGTTCATTTTTAGACATCTGACTAAAAAAAGTAGGAAATGTTCTGAGTTTGGCAAATTTCACATAAAATCTTAAGCATGGTAATACCTCATTCACCTATATATGGATTTCAAACCACGGTAACTGAAACCAATTTCAGTAGTCAAGTAATTTTCACTTAAATATGGGATCATGAGAGTCTTAAATTACTGCCACAGAACACAAAGAACTACAAATCTAAGTTATTTGTGAAATTCACCAATCACCACAATTCCAGTTTTGTACGCGAAAGGGCCCAGAAATTCAGAATTTTGCATAACCTTAAGCGTACTATTTTTCTGCATTCTCACTGCAGTTTTACGGGGTAGTTGGGTAATCGCATTGGAGTAAGGTGCGTAGGCTTGAGTTTGCAAAGATGTGTGCCAAGTTATGAATGGATTCTTAGGGTGTTTTAGTCAGTAGGCTAAACGGGGTCACCAGGGTGCTTGTATACGTAGGCAGTTGAGTTTTGGCGGCACTTTATCTAGAAAAAACTACTCACCATTGTCTCTCTCTCAACTTTGTGAGCCTGTGGCAACACGTTCACTTGTGTCCTCCGACATCAGCTGCACAGCAAAGCATTCACCTATGACAGGTAGCCCTGTACGCGATCTAGAGAATGCATTGTGATCAGCTAACAGGCTTCTGAGCATTCAGCGCATACTAAGAGATTTAAGGAGCGCCGTACATGTGCAGCCAATGGTAGCTTTCTCTCATTTGCATTATTCCATCAATTTCATCTACTTTTTCCTACTAAAAATATTCCCTCATTGGACTACCAAAATTTAGGCTTACCTAACAACATCCACATTTCCATAGCACTCTTCGAAGCCGGAAATTTGTCTAGCCATGTCACTTTGACATATAGCCTGCTTTGAAGGTGCCAAAATCGCGAATCGTTATCTTGGCACCTAGTCACGACCAGTTTTGGCCCAACCCACCAACCACCGCCTGTGTCAATCTTAGTAAACACATTTTATTCATTTTATGGATATTTCGAAAGTTATGAGTTTCTAGAACTATTTTAGGAGAGGCTTACATAAACATTTTTATTGTGATCCAGGTGAACATTGTGGAACCCTTTCTGCCTGCTTTTGGAGGCCTCTATTTCTACCAACTCTTCGGGTCTCCTATCTGAGCTTACCTGAGTTCTTCAAATGAAGTTAGTGGTAGGTCTGTTTTAAAAATAAGCAGTGAAAGCATTGCTGCTTGATCTTTTGCCTTTGTTCCATCTGGAGTTCTGTGAGATTTCGGTTTTTGAAGTTGAACTGATTTGAATATACGTAGCATAACTGGATTGTATACATCAATCTAGATAGAATAGATATTTTTGTGCATTTTCAAATGCAACTACAGATTGTTGCCACTGGAATTCGCACGATGGATCGTTTACGATGCCTGAACACAGCGAGAGACCGCGAAAGTGCACAGGACCCAAGCACGCACTGCGGCCGACAATGGGGTCACAACTGCAAACCCACACCGTGTTCCCATTCCTCACCCTCTACCCTCGCCCCTGGTCCTGGTCCTAACCCTACGGCTTCCACCCCCTGCCCCGGCTCACCCCTCACTCGCCGCGCTCCCTAACTGTCAAGTTGTCCACTGATGTCCCCGTTGAGGGATAGAGGGACGTGGCAGACCTAGAAAACGCTCCTCCACCTCCTGTCGAATAAAGGGAAACACTGGCACTGATAATGGAAAAGGCATATGGTGGACGCTGAATGGTCAATGCTCGGTTCGGTCAAATCTAAGTTGAATGAATGGATGGGACTTGTCCGGATGAAATTGTCCTCTCCTCACCTACTGACTTGATTATTCTCAGGATGGTTGTGCAACACGATGGCCTGAGGCAAGAAAAGGCGATGAGAGAAGAAAGGCGGCAGGACTTGATAAAGGAGGTGGACTGAGTCAGACTTACTGGCCTGTATTGGTGCCTAAATAATTTACAAGGACGTGCTCCGTGCCTGTTGACAATGTCAAGAGCATGAAATCCAGATATCTTCATTGTACGACTAAAAAAGTTCACTCTTTCTCAAGTTAATTTATCTCATGAATCAGCACCACTAATAAGGACTTAACTTCTTCTGGCTGAAGCCTATAAAGCTTCGACCTGACACAATGGGCTATGGAGTGAAAATTTAAACGACCTCTACACTGTCAGCATGAGGTTCTACTAATTTCATCTAGACTACTGATCTTCCAGGCCTTCTGCACGCTTACAAATACCTTTTTGAAACTCAGGTCTTACAATGTCTTTGAGGGTACATTAACCTTCTTCCTGTTAACTGTTGAATCGCATTCCAATTTATATGTTCTCTACCTTGCTGTTTACTCTCCTACCGTCTTTAAGTACAATTTCTCCATTTGATTTACAGCAAGCACTTCATGTTGAATCATTTCTGACAGTCACTTGAACTACCAATCCGCTCACAAATTTTTCGTCCAAAATTCTCTTTAAAGGTAAAGCATGAAGCGTCTTATGTCGACAATGAAACATTATTTATTTGACAGAATTTTTTAAAAATTCCCTAAATAAACGCTATTTTTTAACTCAGAACTTATCAGTGGACGAGGTACGCTGCGTTTTTTCACTTAGTAGAGCTTTTTTCCTACGAAATAACGCAATTAGGCTTGATCACTGCCTCGCTCCTGTCACAAGTGGTGTGACCAACCGCTGGTGTGCAATCACCTCATGCCAGCGCAAATATCCATGCCCCATCGCCAACTGGAGAGCCCATCTGTCGAAGTGCCCCTCGCCACTCCACACAACAGGCTCGCGTGCGCAAATGTTCGTGCCCTTTAATCCGGAGATTAATGTTTCACCGCCTCTCTCTCTCTCTCTCTCGTGTACCCTTACCACCAAGGTCATCTGACATCTAATTTTATGACCTTCGTAAAAGTACAGGCTTTGTAAAGTCCTCCTTGCCTCGCCTCGCCTTGCCTTGCCTACCTACCAGAGCTCTTCATCAACCTCATAATCTCGCTAGCAGGAATGTTCCCAGTGCGCCACTTCAGGCCAACCAATGTGTGGTTCAGTGCTCCCAAGTGGTTCAATTTATGCGCCTAATAGCGGTTATTTCGTTCTTATAAACGATTGAGATAACTACATTACCTTCCAACAATTTGACTGAACAGGGTGTGGTGATATTGTCTCACCATGTGTGCGAAGAAAATTTTGCCGACGAATCTCTAATAGTGACGGTCGAAGGGGCTGAGTTGAAGACTAATGACCCTTGGACTGGAAATGCCTGGTCTAAACGGCTTACCGCCAGAATTGGTGCGACTATAGTTATGGAATTTAAAAGGGTCGTCTAAACAAAATGAACCTTTAGTCAAGTGGGGAAAAAGTCCCCTCATGAACGCTATTTTTCCACTACGCGCTTTCATGGAGTTCGAAATTTTACAATGCATCTGTTTGTTATTATAAATGCATCACATACCAGGAGAGTAGGATTTTTCGCCTTGAGAGCTTGGATAGCAGAATGTGTATGAAATTTAGGTTAGCACTTTAATGCCTTGAAATAATTATCTGAGGTGATTCACAGATTTCCCTAAAATAACGAACTGTTTGACAATTATTCAAGCCAGTTGTACTTTTAAGGCTTAATTTACTGCTGATCACGAATCTTTGGAGGCCGCATTTCGGTTTGAGGCTCACCGCTATCTCATTCCTGCTTGGATTGCAAATTTGGACGGACTTCTAGACTAGCTGCTAAAAACTTGGAATAAAAGCGACGTTATTTTTCGAGATTGTTTTAGCACCCCAATACTCCCTTGAAGATTAAAGAAGCCATAATACAAGGACAGAAAAGCTGTGGGCTACTGGCATGTCCCGGAGGCCACGTCGCCCAGCGGAAGTGCAAAGGCGGTGCCCTCCAGCGCCCGCGTAAGCGAAACTAAGAGTCAAACCAACAAAGTATTTAAGTAGTATTACTTGACTTTAAACTGGTGATTGGTAAAAAGAAACTGACAGCACTACGGGCGATCAAATAATGACGCTCATCTGTCAAACGAAGGAGGTATCTTTGAGTTTCATGGCCATCAGCTGCCTATATTTTTTGTAGGATGGAGTATACGGCAATTGTACTTGTGTTAGCCTAAAATATTTCTTAACATACCTTTAAATACTATTACTGGTAGAGTCTATAAAGAACTAATGAAAATCTACGCTACGCTACCCCTCTAGGAATAAACAAGTACTACGACCTTTTCCGCATTTATTAAGGAAAAAGTCTCATCTATTGGTGCTTAAAAACAAATTTTATCTGAATTAAATTTTACGTTAAGACATTAATGAAATTAAACCATGAGCGGAAAACAGAGCAGATCGACTCGGTGTCACATCAAACGAATTCTGAGTTTACAACACCGTATCGGGTTTACTGATAACCAAAAATAAGGAGCGGAAAGTATTGCAGACATTTGACTTTTGACTGTTGTCTAGGCCCCAGAAGCATTTTGTTGCATTTTAGAATTTATTCTAGAAGCAGCAGAACCTATAAGTAAAACGAGGGCATTCGCATTCCCTGGCTTAAGCATCCATACTACTCAGTAATAGATTTGAGTAGCTGAATTATTGTCAAAAATAGATGGCGAAAATCGAAAATGCAACTCATTATTAGTCGATTTCGCTCATTATTTGGGACTCTAGCAACAGTATTTTTTTTCCTGCAAGATGCCAACATTGATATCCAAATGGAAATGGTCGGATCACTATAGGTGTCAAAAATTACTGTATCGTGTCTAGGCTAAATAGACCATTTCCGCTGCTGAATGATTAGAGCAGCAGGCGCACGAATCCTACCCATGCATGTAATTGATGGTGATTAAATACACCAGCAGTGTGTAGCACAGTCTTTTCCTCCTACTGAGGTACAGTCATCCGGTCCTACATACACTTCTGCATATGAGATGGAGTGGAAAAAAAGGAGGAGGAAGAGATATATGCACAAAAATGAGCTGACGGTAACTGCCGAGGCGCAGTTCAAAAAGCGCCACAGCCTCCGCCACTACGGCCTGCTGCCCCAACTGCGCACCACTCAAACACGAAGCGTCCAAACACACAAGAGCGAGAGAGAGAGGAGCTCTTTTTGTCTTCTCGCGCCTTCCATGTCCGACTAACCATTCCGGCATCTGGCGGCCGAGGGGAAAAAGATGGCGGATTTACTTACGAAGACGCACTTCCTTCCTCCCTCCTTCCCGCCTTGCCTGATTGCCTTGTTCCCTTTTCTTTCTGTCTTCCAAAAGACAAATTAGTTCAGTCTACTTCATAGCACGGAAAAGGGATAGAAATAACTGGATTTGATTAGCACCTGTTCAAATGTTGGTCATTATGATCAACTGAAACCAACAAAAATTTACTCTAGGATGATCAAGCCTGTAGGATGTCAATCGCTTTTATTTACCGATACCTTGACACCCTGTCACATGGTAAGAAATTGCAAAAAATGCAGATCGGACATATTGAGACTACAGTCTGAATGATGCATTCATTTCAATTTCGGGAATAATGCATTTTTTTCATTGTGTGGGGAAGGGATTTGCAAACTGATTCATAAACTATTTTGATCCGTGGACTCTTACGATCAAAGCGCCCGCCTTTTGTGTAATAATCTGATTCAGTACAATTAAAAGCAATGAACACCAAGGTTACATTGAAATATAAGAATTACCACAAAATCCAAATACTACTGAACTTTTTCATTTTACCCTCCCAGATCTATTGACCCGCTTTGTGCTACGCAGTTATACCAAAAGAAAGCGCCCAGGCATTTAGCCTAAGTCTTTTTAAAAGACTAAACTTTATTTTATTTCCCATCAACACATTCGTCACCTTCTGACACTTGTTGTGGTCTTCCAGAATTAATTATATACCTCTAATACGAAAACGTTGAACTATCACCATCGGCTTTCTACTACGGGATCATTTTTATGCATCACTATTCTATGAGCGGATGATTCAAATCCTACGGCACCGACAGATCTAATTTAACAATAAAGTGGTCTTGATGTTCATCCAGCTCATCGACCCTTCTCCTCGTTAAATATCATGCCAAAAGAAAAGTGTAAGCATTATTTTTAATAGCAGTTTGACTGAATACCTGGTATAGTCACCTACTGTAGCGTCCCGACACTTTCCTGAAGACGAAAGAAAGCATAATACTTGGCCAGAATATGAATCGTCGATGGGCAGAAGGGCTGGGGCGGGGGTCTACTGGCCTGGTCCAGAGGTCATTCTAGCCAGCGGAAAGGCGATGCCTTAAGTGCTCGCATAATCAAAACCTCAAGCTAAGCAAACAGCCAAAGCATTGCATAGCCCTCCTTCGCTTTTGAGCGTCATCCTTGGCGCTCCCCTTAGTCGGCCCCCCACCAAGGCCATCGCAACGAAGTCTGCACTGTGAGAAAAACAACCCGGACCAATAGCGCTGATCATAGAATTTGCGTTCCACTGAAGAGATCTCTGACTGCAACGTCACAAATCCCTCTTAACAATTCTACTAGGCCTACACATTAGTCCTGTTGGGGAACTATTTAGGAAGGGAAAATGTACTCGCCATCACGTATGCCTGTCGATAGACCTAAGAACACTGGCCCAAAAGTAGTCATATAATGGAAGACGTGATTTAAAATGGTTTCGCGTGAATAAGGTTTTACGTCTATTCCTCTCTGCACTTCAGTGTTGCCCAGCCGTGCTCTCTACCTGTGTTCCAGTTTGCTAGTGGAGCGATGAGGAGGTACAGCGAGTTAAATTGGTTGACATCTGCGTACAAGTACCATTAACAGCCCTGTAACGAGCTTACCTAGATAACTCTCGGCCACGGCTGACGTCACTTTACTTGCTAATAGCATTCCTGCAGAATACGGACCGGGGATAGTTGACAATGATGGAAGCCATTTTCAACCCTTCTGTTAAGGATCGTCACAAATTTTCCCATCCACAGCACTTTCCCTTCTTTCGTCACGCTAAGGCTTAGCATCCGGCAAAACAAATCAGGGTTGATGTCCATTAGGATAGGATTCTCTTTTTGGTCTCACCAAGGTAGCACAGCGAGTCTTTCTTGACTACGAAAGAAGACATAATATTAGGACAAAATATATAATGACAACATGCAGAAAGGCTGGGGTGTGCGGCCACTGTCGTAGCCCAGCAGAGGTGCAAAGGCGGAGCCTTAACTGATCGCGAAACCACAGCGAAGAGATAAACAAGTTATCATAATACTACTCTACTGTTAAATCTCCTAGGGTTTACTGAATGGGTCTTCACAAAAGGTTGCATTTGTGGTAAATTTTAGTGATTATCCAACTTGTAAAAGCTTCTTTTGTTTCCTCGCTTCTACTAAGTTTAAATTACATAGTATTGCCTCAAGGTGCTTCAGGGAGAAAGTTCTGATGCAAGT